ATTTAATAGCTCTTGTTCTTCAAATTGTAAGACCTTTAGTGCTGTCTTGACTTGAGAGAGCCAAGAGGAGAGGGAGAGAGAGGGAGAGAGAGGTAGGAACTTATGAGGGGGAGTTTGTGAGAGGGATTCACAAAGGTTGCTCCAAGTAAGGTTCCAAGGTGTCTTCTCCAGTATTCGTCCTTCGTCCTCGGGGATTCAAGGGAGGTCTTCTTCAGCAATTGGTCGAGGTTCTCTGCCTGCTTCAGGAGGAAGCAAAATGAGTTGGGTTCTCTGCCTCACCAGGGTTGACGGAAAGGAGTTTTTGTGAGGGCTTCTCTGCCTTGCTGTGGGAGCACAAGAAGAGTCACTTTTGTAGTGCAATACTCGGAGGGAGCCTCTGAGGAGTGGACGTAGGTCGAATTGATCGAACCACTATAAATTCTCTGTGTTCTTTTCTTACTATATTCCGCATTTATTTTTCACACGTTGATTTATTTTTGGTGATATTGGTTTCGTTTTTATTTGTGTTTTGCTCTTTTTTTTTTAAATACCAATTCCCCCCCCCCCCCCTTGGTTAGCCTCGGGCTAGTTCTTAAGGGCTTAATATCCCTAACAAACTTTCACTCTCATCCTTAGCTTGCCAAATTTTGAAAATATTTTTGAAGTTGATTGTGATGATTCACATGTTGGTATTGGTGATGTGCTTAGCCAAGAAGGAAAGCCTATTACTTACTTTAGTGAAAAGTTGAATGATGCTCGATCCAAATATTCTACTTATGATTTAGAATTTTATGCTATTGTTCAAGCTTTAAAATTATGGAGATATTACTTGATTCAAAGGGAAATTATTTTAAACACTAAATACGAAGCTTTAAGATTTTTGGGCTCTCAAAAAAATTTGAACAAAAGACATGCCAAATTGGTGTTTTTTTTACAAGAATACACTTTTCATATTAAGCATAAAACTGGGGTGCTAAATAAAGTAGATGATGCTTTAAGCAGGTCACATTTACTTATAACTATTTACCCAATCATAACTTCTTTTGATTTTTTAAAAGATAATTATGCGAATGATCTTGATTTTAAGAGTATTTGAGAAACTTGTCTTACTTCTGGAACTGATCCTTCTACTCAATTTGTCATTCAACAAGATTTTCTGTTTAAGGGTTCTAGACTTTGTATTAAAAAAAATTCTTTAAGAGAGCAACTTGTGCAAGAACTTCATAGTGGGGGTTTGGGTAGACATTTTGGACAAGAAAAAACTATTTCCTTGGTAGAAGAAAAATATTTTTGGCCTCATATGAGAAAGCAGATTGCTAAGCTGGTGAAATAATGTAAAATATGTCAAGCTTTTAAGGGAACTTCTCAAAACATTGGTTTGTATACTCCTCTTCCTATTCCAAATAAACTTTGGGAAGATATCTCTATGGATTTTGTCTTAGGGTTGCCTGTTACTGTAAGAAAATATGATTCTATTTTTATTGTGGTGGACCGATTTAGCAAAATGACACACTTTATTCCATGCAAGAAAACTTCTGATGCTTCATATATCGCTGACTTATTTTTTAAGGAAATTGTTCATCTTCATGCTATTCCTCGCACATTTAATTCTGATAGAGATATTAGATTTTTGAGTCAATTTTAGAGAACATTGTGGGCTAAGTTAGGAACTACTATTCAATTTAGTACTGCTTATCATCCATAAAACTGATGGACAAACTGAAGTTGTCAATCGAAGCTTAGGGAATTTACTGAGATGCCTAGCTGGAGAAAAAAACATCCCAATGGGATTTAATATTACTCCAAGCTGAGTTTGCATATAATAATTCTGTTAATCGCTCCACTAGTAAAACTCCCTTTGAGATTATTTATGGTCAGCCTATACCTCACATTTTAGATAAAAATTATTTGCCTTTGCCTAATAAAGTTAGTGCTAAAGCTACTGAGACTTTTGACCATATCAAAACTGTCCAACAGTAAGTCCTTGAAAAACTTTGAATGGCTAATGTTAAATACAAATATGCTACTAACAAACATCGGAGGGAAATTTATTTTAATGAGGGTGATTTGGTTATGGCTTACTTTTATCACCAACAATTTCATATTGGTACTTTTGGTAAATTAAGCAGGATGCCAACAGTAATAGGGAGATCCAGGAGAAAGGTATTCATGCCCAACTTTCATAGAATACAAAAATGCCCAAATTTCTTCCTGCTTAATTTACCAAAAGTACCAATATGAAATTGTTGGCACTTCTTCTGTGTTTAATGTTTCTGACCTTTCTTTGTATGAAGGAAATTATGATGAAACAGTAGAAGTTGAAACTTTGCCACTTTCCACATCTGTTCTGAACAATGACGATCAGATTAAAGATGTTATTGATGTCAAAGTTACTAAGACTAGACATGGGGAGCACAAGAGGTTCTTGACTAAATGGAAAATTTGTCCCTTGACAGACTATACTTGGATAAATGATATTGTATTGAAAAATCATCATTCAGATCTTTTTCAGAAAGTTGTTGAATCATTCTCATCAGGAGATGTGATTCTCCCACCAGGGGGAAATTGATGCATGCATATTTTAGCTTATTTTCTTTTTATTGTAATTTGAATATTATAGTTATTTTTTTTTATTTTTTTATGTTATCCAATGATGGAGAACATTATTGCTTGAGCTGATGTTTAGTTCTTTATTTGGAGTAGTAATTACACTATTTAGCTTATTAATTTAAAAAGGTATTCTTCTTTTAACTCATTAAGTGGAGTTGGAGCTTTTCTCTTCCCCTTCTTTGTGGCCCCTCAGTTTCTTCCTGGCGCTGTTTCCCGTGGCTGGTTCTCCTCCCTTTGATGGATGCTGGTTATTGTCCCCTGTGCCGCCTTTTTGGCTTCTTCCCCGGCTGCTTTCCCGTGACTTCTTTTATATGGTTCCTATTTTGTCTTTTCGAGTGATGTTCTGCTTTGTCTGTTGGCCTTCCTTTTCCCCTTACTTGATTGGTTCGGTTGGAGGTGGAGTTGGCTGTTTGGCTGCCCCTTTTCTCTTATAAATTGGAGGTGTATTTGCCATAAAAAGGTTGTTGATTAACTTGAGATAAGTTTCTAAGAACCCGAGGGCTTCTATTTCTTCCTTGGAAAAGCTTGAGAGCTTGTTCCATTTCTCTCTTCTTCTTCTTTATTTCGTCTTGGGCTTTTAATCTCTTCTTCTCTCTGCAAGTTCCACTCCACTTGTATGATTCTTCTTGAGCTATTGGAGGTGCTTGTTGGCAGAATTTGGTGACATTTGCGGAGGAGTTTTGTTGGACATTGGACCTTTGTTGCTGTGGTGGACCCTTGGTTTGCAAGCTCTAAGCACTTATCTTAGTTTACCTACTTTTTGTTGCATGTGAGGAAACTGCTTGCCGGTTTTTCTGAGGATAATGTTTTTATTTTAAAATTTTGTTTCGTTTGTTCTGCTTTGGTTTGTCTTGGTGTTTTGTTTGGATGTTAGTTCTTCTAAATTGAATCGACTTATGTTCTACTTGTCCTAGTGTTCTCCTATATTGGTTCTATTGTCTAGTTTGCCCGCATCAAGTTTTGAGCAATTACTTCTTCAAATTAGGGTGCTCATTCCACATGGACTGAACAACTCTACTTGGGAAATACTATGCCCTTTCGAATTTTCTTCTATCCTTTTAGAAGCATATTCAATGCACTCAATGACCATTAAGTTTAGATTCATCTGTTTCCACTTAGATCCCTTTTGAAATGAAATGCATGTTCATTAGATGTATGCAATGATTTTGTTGGCTTGCTATTGATAAAATTGGAAACAAAATTAATATGGTTGGTGCCACTAATCTCATAATCAATGCCTCCAACATTTAATTCCCTAGTTGCTCCCATGATTTGCTGTTCATCTCTTGCTAGTGTTGAATGGTGGTGGTTTTTTTTTTTTTTGGAGTGGGCGGGGGTGGGGGTTGTATGTGTCCTTATTTGTATTATATTCATTGGTTCATGCCATATGTTGTTCTTACAGAGGTGGAATTGTGGCCTATGCAACTTAATTAATTTCTATTATATTCTTTTTATGGTTTTGTATGTAAATGTAATTAAATGTCCTTTAATTTAGTAAGAAATGTAAGAGGAAAATTCATTTGTTGAAAAATTATGCTTTGTTCCTGTTAGAATTTTTTTGGGGTTGGGATATAAATTTGTTTAAACACCTTTTATTTCAACAAGAAGTGCAAGATGAAAATTTTTATCTTAGAAATTATACTTTGTCCATGGCATCATATTGAGGTTTTTGACGATAATTCAAAAAATCGTAGCACTCTATGAATGTTCATCAACCGAGGAACTGTCCACCATTGTAAAGCTTTAACATTTCTTATTGGGAATTAAATAAAGCATATTCATGGGAGCATTGAACCATCAAACATTTATTATTTGCTACCTATTGTAATTATTAGGGCTGCAAACAAATCGAGCCGAGCCAACCATCAGGCTGTTTGAGTTTGGGCTCGTTTGTCAAAATTGTGCTCAAGCTCGACCGAAGCTCATCGAGCTTCTTGAACAGCCATTCGAGCTTGAGCTTGTTAAAAACTCCCACGTTCGAACTCGGCTTGTGTTCAAATTTGAGCTCGTTTAACTTCAAGCTTGTCAAGCCTCTTATCGAGCGGCTCGTTTTGCCACAAACACAAAATAAATTTTCTTTTAAAATAAACCCAAGTCTTTATTAGCTGTCCCGCCAAAAAAACTTGCATAGCCTACCAACACGCCTGCATGCTATTCAACAAATGCTCTCCACATATATTTGTTTTTATATAGCAAAAAAACTTCTCACTAGGCGATGTGGGTAACATTTAAAATTCTAAGCATTAATTTAATAAGTTTTAATTATATGATAAATTTTAAGAATCTTCATTGCACTAGTTATTTCCAACTAAATCTAAATACTCTCTATATCTCATGAATTAAAAATTATAATTATAATTATAATTATAATTTCTATTTTAATATTTCTTAAAAACAAAACATACCTCTTCTTCCTCCAAGCCCTAGCTTGTTCACGTATTTCCACTCCCCCACTCTTTCTTTCGGTCTCTCTCTCTCTCTCTCTCTCGGTTTTATAGACACGAAGCCAGCCACATTCGGCCCGAACCCCCTTCGGCTTCCACGACACCAAACAGCGGGAGTGAACCCTACGTCTATACGCGATTCGACTTCCACTACTTCCGCGATTCCAGACGATCATAGCACACCGAACGTTTCTTTGTTTCCCTCGTCTCATTCGGCTTCCACAAAGTCTCTTCGGTTCTAGGCGACGCAAAAAAGCTCTTCCGATTCCAGGAAATAGAAGCTGCTTCGTCTTCCTTGTTTCAGGTTATTACACGAACTCTAAGGGGGTGTTTGGTATGATATTGGATTCAATTTTAGTAGGATTTACTAAATCCTGTAAATCCTAGGCTCATAAATCCTGAATTGTGTTTGATATGACAACTTTTAAATCCTGTTAAATTCAGAAAGATGCTTGACATCAGATTACAAGATTTAAAATAGTTGGAGATTTAAAATTAAAGGAGTAATATGCCAAATAATTAACCAAACATAACATCATTCAACGAAAACAACTAAAAGCATAAAGAGTACATGACAACAAGAATTTTTTTTGGACACCGCTTAACAACTACAAGATAATACACTACAACATAATGGTGATGTTGATATTTGTTGCATTGGAGAGTATCTTCCTCACAATGATCGATTTCTTTGACTATTTATCTGAAATAAAAAAAATGAAAAATTACATAAATATTGTAATGAAAGGTAAATTCGTTTTAATGCATACATATATCCTTACCTGGGCATTCCACATATCAGTTGCAATAACATGTCTTATCGCTTCTCCTATTGTAGTGTGCAAGTTAGGATCTTCATCCAACATTTCAACATTCCCACGTTCACTTTCGTGTTCCATTTCTGTCTGTGACATATTGAAATACATGTCATGTCCATAATAGCGACCTATAAAGTTGTGCAGAACTGCACACGCAATAACCAGATCAGCTTGAATAGTAACAAGAAACTTTTTCATGTGAGAACACTTGAAAACGTTCCTTCCAAATCCCGAATGTTCTCTCTACCACATTTCGCAGTTAGGCATATCAGTGATTAAATAATTCTTGCTGATTTGTATATCTTCTAGTAGTACTTCCTCGATAATCAGCTAAATGATATTGATAACCTCGAAAATGAGCAATCAACTTATCAGTGTTTGCATAGCCTGAATCAACTAAGTAATAATGATTGCGGGGCACTCCAAATTGATCTTGCTCTACAGCCCATCTTAGCACACGCATATCTGCAGCTGACCCTTCCCAACCAGATGCTACATATACAAACTGTCTATCAAACGACACTTCAACCATAATATTCTGCGAGGTGAATCCCTTACGGTTACAATAACGATTATGTATGTTGCTACTAACTATTGCTAGTATATGTGTGTCGTCAATTGCACCCAAAACATTCTTGAAATAAGGGTGAAATATTGTATTTGAACGTACAAAAGGATGATATTCTGGATCTCCCTAGGGTAAATTAATGAACTCATCGGCAAATGAGACAATAGCACGTAGAATAATGTTTAAGTATCTGCTAACTGTCTCCAAAGAATACTGAAAAAATTCACACAACTATCGGTAACTATGAGCATGTGCAACTCCTCACAAGAATATACCTAGTTGCTCAGCTGCATTCATATTTTTTGTGTCACGCAAATGCCCACGGCTTACTAGTAGATCTCTTAGGCTTATGAATGCATTTGAAGGAAGCCTAAAATATTGGTACGCTCGGCCCGGATGGCCAGCAAGCACATCAATTACATATCGATGTCCAGTGTAGGACCTATCGAACATAGGCCGCCTGATTGATTGTTCATCATCTGAGGAAGAACTATCTTGTATTAGAGATGGAGTAATTTCAGCAATAACATTGTTGACTTGAATTTATAAGTCAACCATGTCACATAAAACATCCGGAAGTACTCCACGCAAATAATTAGACATGGCTGCATAAAAAAAATACCAACGATAATATTTGAAATCAATTGAAACATCATACAACCAAGGAACATGAAAGAGAATATTACAACATTAACCAAACTAATCAAATCAAACAACATATATCAATCAAAGTGAATCAAACAACTACAGCCAAACTTTTGACGTGTAAAAACAAGGATGCATGCTAACAATATATTCTATCCACTCATTTAGGACGTCGGCTTCCCAAGTCATCAATATGGCTTTGTAATCTTTGTTCTCTTTGAGTGCATCCTGAATGGCTATGAGTGCTTGTGTTAAAAGATTCTCAAATTGGTCTAACTTGATTAAGCAATCACGCATACTATACGGATCTGTTTTTTCAATTGTCTCTCTAAAAACAATGGCATTCTTGTTTAACTGAAGTAATAGTTTATTTAGATTTTGCAACCCTACTTAGACAACGCACAAATGCGGCAAGTTCACCAACAATATCATTTAAGTAGGATTTATTTAAATGAACTCTTATTGGAGTGTGCAACTAGGGGGTGTTTGGTATTAGATTTATTTCCAATTTTAAGTAGGATTTACGGTAAATCCATCCAAACGCAAAAAAAATGGCACTGTAAATCCGGCAAATCCGTAAATCCAGGATTTGCGGATTTATGTCGTAAATCTGTTAAATCCTAGTAAATCCAAATCCCGCTAGAGCTCGGATTTAACGCAAGTTACATTGCGAAAGTTCTTCCCGCGACGCCCGTGTCGCGATGTCCTGCCCGACCTCTTTATGTACATGGAGGAAGACTCAGCTTCTTTTTCATCCTGTGCCCTAGCCGCTTCCGAAGCACTCTTGCTAAATCTCGCTCAAGGTCGCTCACGTACCCATCGTTTTTTTTTTCCAGCGACATTTCTTCGTTTTCTCCTTCCCGAGCGAAATAGGCGATTAGTTTTTTTTTTTCTTCACGAGCACGACAGAGAGGAATACCGAACAGATCCTCATGACAGAGAGGAATACCGCTCAAGGTCGTGCTCGCTCAAGGTCGCCACTTTTTTTTCTTCACGACAGAGAGGAATACCTTTTGATTTGGTATCAGATTTATTCAGATGTTTATTTGGTTAAGTTTTGTACTACCAAATAGATTTTTTTTCTTCACGAGCACGACAACATTCCTAAAATATATAAGCAACAATTTTGTTTGAAATGTTTTTATTTTTTTCTTGTTGTGTATTGAACTATTGGCATTTCATTTGAAGTTTAAGATAATACAATTTATTTAGGCAGCAATGACATAATTTGGCTTAGGATATTCAAGTCTTGATCTTTAGTTGAACTTTGTCGTAATTGAATTATAGTATGTTTTTAGAATTATCGAAAGTATTGTACTAATTTGATTGACAAAAATAACACGATGAGAATATATGCTCTTGTAATAAAAATCTAGGTTTCATCGATATGAATGTAGTAAGTGTGAGCGACAATGAGTCATCAAACGCTATCTACCTACGTAAGACTGGTAAAAGTTCTTAAAGGAAACCTAAAAAAAAATTACTTGTTTGCACAACTGTTAAATTTCATGGAAATGATGTCCTCGTTAATGTCTGACAGCAATGTAGAAATTTCTAAAAGGCAAAGGAGTTGGACGTGCAAGCGGTAGTGTAAGCCACGTCGTGATGGTGACGACATCTCAATTTACTTTGGCATGCCCAAAAGTACAACTCGAAATCCTAAGTGGTCAGAAGATCATAATGTCATACTTGGCGAGTTGCTATTGTAACAATATGTTAATGACAATTTTTGTAATGGGAATATGCGAAAGGAACAATGGGCTAGCTTAGTAGCTGTGTTAAACAGACGTCTTAGAACAAACTACACTGATTCGTCCGTAATAATAAGATTTAAAAATATGAAGGCTGATTTTAGAACACTATATCAACTAACAAACCGTAGCGGATGGGCTTGGGATGAGGAATTACACATCCCTGTAGCTACCGACGAGTTGTGGGATGAAATTCAACAGGTATTATTTTGTTCTTTATAATTACACATAATTCAAAAATTTTATGCATCTAAATCAACAAAACTTCATTTTTCTAGGTTAACCCAAAGGTAGCTCGATTTAAAAGGCACTCCTTCCATCAGTATGAAATATTTGAGAAGATTTGTGCCGAGAACATTGCAGTGGGAAGTGATGCGAGATGTAGTAAGATGTCTGAGCCAGTGGTTAACTTAAACAGTGAGGAAGATGCTCCACACTTTGAGGATGATTTCCTAACAGCTAACGGTGTCTGCTATGACATGAACGGAACGCTACCGAACGACCAACCTCAAACTGTCGACATAGATCCAAGTGTGGAAATGGACCCAAGTCCAACGATACGTACAAAAAAATCTAGCGAGAAGCCAACCAAAGCTGCTAAATGTTTGAAAAGGAATAATGGTTGCAAAATCTAAATGAACTATTACTTCAGTCAAACAAGAATGTCATTATCTTTAGAGAGACAATTGAAAAAACAGAACCGTATAGTATGCGTGATTGCTTGATCAAGTTAGGCCAAATTAAGAATTTTACAACACAAGCACTCATAGCCATTCAGTATGCACTCAAAGAGAACAAAGATAACAAAGCCATATTGATGACTTGGGAAGGCGATTTCCTAAATGAGTGGATATAATATATTGTTAGCATGCATCCTCATTTTTACGCTTCAAAAGTTTGGTTGTAGTTGTTTGATTCACTTTGATTGATATATGTTGTTTGCTTTGATTAGTTTGGTTAATGTTGTAATCTTCTCTTTCATGTTCCTTGGTTGTACGATGTTTTAATTGATTTGGAATAATATCGTTGGTATTTTTTTATGCAACCATGTCTAATTATTTGCTTGGAGTACTTTCGGATGTTTTATGTGACATGATTGACTTACAAATTCAAGTCAACAATGTTATTGCTGAAATTACTCAATCTCTAATAATAGATAGTTCTTCCTCGAATGATGAACAATCAATCAGGCGGCCTATATTCGATAGGTCCTGTACTGAACATCGATATGTAATTGATGTGCTTGCTAGCCATCAGGGCCAAGCATACCAATGCTTTAGGCTTCCTCCAGATGCATTCATAAGCCTAAGAGATCTACTAGTAAGCCGTGGGCATTTGCGTGACACAAAAAATATGAATGCAGCTGAGTAACTAGGTATATTCTTACGAGGAGTTGCACATGCTCATAGTTACCGACAGTTGTGTGAATTTTTCCAGCATTCTTTGAAGACAGTTAGCAGATACTTCAACATTGTTCTACGTGCTATTGTCTCATTTTCCGATGAGTTCATTAATTTATCCTAGGGAGATTCAGAATGTCATCCTTTTGTACGTTCAAATACTATGTTTTACCCTTAAAGAATGCTTTGGGTGCAATTGATGGCACACATATACCAGCAATAGTTAGCAGTAACATACAGAACCGTTACCGTAACCGTAAGGGATTTACCTCGCAGAATGTTATGGCTGTAGTGTCGTTTGATAGACAGTTCGTATATGTAGCATCTGGTGGGAAGGGTCAGCTGCAGATATGCGTGTGCTAAGATGGGTTGTAGAGCAAGGTCAATTTGGAGTGCCCCGCAATCATCATTACTTGGTTGATTCAGGCTATGCAAATATTGATAAGTTGATTGCTCCTTTTCGAGATTATCGATATCATCTAGCTGATTATCGAGGAAGTACTACTATAAGATATACAAATCAACAATAATTATTTAATCACCGACATGCCCAACTGTGAAATGTGGTAGAGAGAACATTCGGGATTTGGAAGGAACGTTATCCCCTAGTTGCACACTACAATAGGAGTTCATGCATACTATGTTCAACAACTGACGTAATAATTCATTTAGATTTAGAATTTACAGCGCCTAGTGTTTTTCTTGGTTGTTCTCTTTACTCACCATTAGTTGTCAAATAATTGATTCAGAGAATATTTCCTTTTTATCATCAAACTCTTAAATAGTATTATTTTTGGATGCACATCATCTGAGTAGTCAAAGTTATTATTGTTTACATTATCAAAACCAAATGATTCATTGCAAGTTCATCTTCAGTTTTTGGCACATTAACATCCACAAACAAAAACACCTCATCTTCTTCCTAGACAACACACAAATGCGTGACTGGCCTCCATTGGACAAAATCGATGCCCTAATGTTGCTCATTGAGTCCAGTGCAAGTTGTTTCATAAATTGGAAATCTAACATATGGATGTCTTATAATGATTGCTTCTCCTCCACCAATGTTTTTGACTAATCTCGTGGCGATATCCTCCACTTGGCACTTTACCTCCTCTCCTGGGTTGAGACTACTATCCTCCATCTCGAAATGCCTCACCTATATCGTCCACTCTATGGCCCTTTACCCCATATGCGCCCTTGAGGATTACATCGACCAACCACCCTACTGTCCCAACCATCATTGATCAAGAAATGGACCATGACAAATCTCAACTCTTTGGTTGTGTCCATGGCTCATATTCTCTTGTCTTCACTTGCTTGCTCTAACCATTGATTCCCATCAATCATTTATGTAACCCGCTCTCCAGCATCTCTACCCATTATTGTTTAAAATTGCGTAATATGAGGCTCGCCTTGAGGTCCGTCTCAATGCAATTCTAGTAAAAAAAGCCTCGAGGCTTACGCCTCAAGCCTTACGCCTTAAGCTTCTTTTATGAGGCTTACACCTTATCTTGGATGAGGCTCGCCTTGTGGCGTGCCTCGTCTCGCTGGTATGAGGCGTACACACCTCACTTTATTTATGTATTTTTTTATTTAAAACTTAACAAAATCCTATACAAAAGCCCAAAAGAAAATCATACATACCGCAACAACTTTCTCTCAATTGCCTTAACCTCTAACCCATCGCCTTACTATAGTCGCCATTGTCGTATCCACAACAAGGGATCACTAGATAGCCGCACGCCACCACCATCTCCTCTTAAAATTTTGGAGTATTATCTTTATGTTGATGACAAACATTTATGAAAGATGAAGATAATTGAGATAAATGAAGAAGAAGCAAATTGAGAGGTATTGGACCTACCAGATGAGGCGGGAAAGAGACCAATTTTTTATGACAGTGACTCAAATAAAAATCCTCATAGTAATGATAGTACAAATGATTTCTGAGTTGTTGTCAATTATTTCAGCTCGTTTAAAAATTAAACGTTGATGAGTAGGCAACTGAGAAAGAAAAAAATTAGAGCAGAACTTGCTGTTATTTGATAATTTTATGCAATTCATTTATTTTATGTTGTTTTGTTACTTTAATATTTGGATTTCAATTCTATTTCACATAATTGATCACTTAACACTTTATATCTTATACATTTTTTATTTCATATGTATGTAAATTTGTTATTTCATAGTTTAATAAAAAGTTAATGTCACCCACACCCTTTAACATATTATTTGGATATTATATAAAAATTTACTTTTAACTTTTATTTTGACTTTATACAATTTTTACATTTTGAGGCTTACGCATCGTCTCACGAACTAAAAACACCTCAGTACCTAATTGCACAATTTTAAACCTTGCTCCCTACAAATCTCTCTATAATCGCTCACCAATGTCTTTTGTTTACACTCGCTTAGCCATCCTACACATGCAAATTGCATCCAAACCCATAGTCCTGCCCATCTTGAATCTAACACCCTAATCTATGCTTCAACAACATCGCTCACTCTCCACATACACCAGCAATATAAATCCTATCCAACAGAATTCCATGATAGAATCAAATGTGATCCAATTTATCTAGACTCAACATGCATTAAGACCTTAAACTTTCAAAATCATGGGTTCCTTGATATTGTTTTCTCTACTAGAGTGTTATGCAGGTAAATGAGACAACCTGGGAATATGGCTAAATCTTACTTTAGGATTTGTGGCACTAATTTTCTTAGATATGTTAAACTTATTTTGATATTGGTGCAAATGAAAATGTAGTTGAGTCTAGGTACAATACTAAAATTAGGTGTGTACGTAGGCTTTGCAAAATTTTAGTTATATATAACTTGAAAATGAAAATTTTCATTGTTATAGAACTTCAGATGAAGGCAAATTATACTTCAAACTGACTGAATAATCAGTCGCTTGGTTTTCTTTAGTAAAATATCTGGACTTATATGGTGAACTGGTTAATAAAATAAATTGTTGTATTTATATAGTTGGTCGATTTTCCCAGCTAGTAAGGATGCACAAAATTTTCTTTCAAAAAAAAAAATTCTTTCAAAAAAAAAGGATGCACACAATAAGCTACTTGCCTAAGTCATACTTATTGGAAAATGGTCACATGCCTTCATTGTTATCACTTCTAGTTGGCTATTTTCTGTAGTTTAGGTGCCATTATTATATGTGACAATAGTCCTTACGGTTTAAATTGTAATTCTTGTGCTTTGGTTTGTTTAGTTTACTGATTTATGTACAAAAGATTTTGTTGGCCTTGCCTAAATCATTTCCTGAGGAAAGTTTCGCAACATTTTTACATAATGTCTTAGTTATGTTGGTCTTATACTTTGTGTTGTTATTTTACCATGCTTTTCAGTTTTACCTCATTTGTCTTTTGATTAATTGCTACTTTAAGCATAAGTTGTTATGCTGACTTAATTGCAGAATTTTTGGAGCATCACTCATATATCATAAGGATATTGCTTGGGATGAGGAATATTTATTACATTTACTGAGATATTGAGGCTAGAATTTTCTAGCAGATTGCCATAACTTGAATTTGAATAGTTGTCTAAGGAGAGGTTTTTGAGAAGGAAGATTAGGGGAAAGAGCAACTGGCGTGAAGAACATATTAACCAGTTTCGTTGGCAACATTATTGTCGAGGGAAAAGGAATAAGATGAAGTTCCATATTGAAGAGGTTGCAGTATATTTCCCTTACGATCACATCTACCCTGAGCAGTATGAGTACATGGTTGAGCTAAAACGTGCTTTGGATGCTCGAGGCCATTGCTTGTTGGAGATGCCAACAGGCACAGGAAAAACTATTGCCCTCCTATCGCTCATTACTTCATATGCTCTTGCACACCCTTCCTCTCCCCTTAAGCTTGTCTACTGTACTCGGACAGTTCATGAGATGGAAAAGACTCTTGCTGAGCTACGAGTTTTGTACTCCTACCTACCCCCTTCTTCATCTCTCCTTGCTCTCGGATTGTCCTCTCGTAAGAATCTTTGTATAAACCCTGATGTCCTCTCAGCTTCCTCTCGGGACTCTATTGATTCATCATGTCGTCGCCTCACTGCTAGTTGGGTTCGTGCGCTTGCTGCTGATAGGGAGCAATCTAGTAGGGGAGAGTCATTGCAGCCCTCAGGTGCTATCCCTACTTGCCCCTTTTTTGAGTCTTATGACAAGGCCTCTCGTGATGCTATTCTACTTCCCTCAGGAGTTTACACTCTTGAGGACCTCCGTGCATTTGGTCGTGATCGTAAATGGTGCCCTTACTTCCTTGCTCGCAACATGATCCAATATGCCAATATTGTTGTGTATAGTTATCAATACTTGCTTGATCCTAAGGTTGCCAACATCATCTCCAAAGAAATGCAAAGGGAGTGTGTTGTTGTTTTTGATGAGGCTCACAACATTGACAATGTCTGCATTGAGGCTCTTAGTGTAAGCATTCGAAGACAAACTCTTGATGGGGCCACTAGGAACCTCAACCGCATTGCTCAAGTGATTGACAAGTACGTGTTCATTAACTTTATCTTTATTCTTTTCTCCAGTTTTAAATTATAGCATTATGTATTTTACCTTCTTATTGCCAAGATGCATAACTTTTACGAAATGGCTAATACAAAATATTACTTAAACAACTATTGTTTTACATGTAGACCAGGCATTTGAATCAGCTAGCTAGCGCCAACGGCGTTGGGTAAAAAAGGAAAGAAAACTTAAAGAGTTTCAAGTAGGCCTAGTGAAATTCATCAAGAGAGTGATGTTGAAAGTAGGCCTACCTTATTAGGTTATTGATGTTGATCTTGACAAAGGTTGCGAAGGTTTGGAATGCTAGTTTAATTTACTAAATCAGAATTTATTTTTCAGGCTAATATTAGGGTCATTTGTAATTTTGGTTAGTGGGTTAAGTATGATTATAGGGAAGCCTGCTAATTGCTATTAGTAATATAGAATCCCTTTATTGTAGGTTTAGAAAACCAGATTTGATTTTTCTTTCTTTTGTTGTTGTTGTTGTAGTTGCTGTTGTTTAGTTTGTAGAGAAGACAACTAAGATACTTGAGGATAATCTCCAACCATGGTTGTTTTTGTTTGCTCTCGCAATTATATTTGTAAATTTGTTGTTTTTTATTGCCTTTCATTAAGAAAATACTGCCTTGATTCTTCCTATAAATGGCTCACAAGTTTGTGTTTCTAATGACATTCTCACTAAGGTCAAGGGGATAATCAGTGGGGCTAAGCGAAATCATTCACTGCATTTTGCCTAATGTTGCTGGTGGCTATGCGAGACCTTGAAGAGGTGTGTCAATCTTGTGGACTTACGAGTTTCACCAGCACCAATCCTTCTTGGTCGGATAATGAACTTTCTGATGATTGTAGTTCTGTATAGGGTCTTCAATATTTTCCATTCTCTATGCAATCGAGAGGGTAGGAGAATAGAGATTAATGTAGAGAATACCAAGATCTGATGAATGAAGCCAAATAAACCTCAGAAATTCATCACATGCAAATTAATGAAAGAAAAAATGAAATATGGTTTGAAGTTCTTAAGATTTTCTACATGTAGTAAAAAAACAAAGGACAAATACTAAAAGCAAGGGCAGTTATAATCTACTTTGATGTCAACTAGGAGACCAAGAATCAAAAGTAGGACATGCGCAACAAAATTTTACCATTTCTTTGATGGATGGATATTATTTGAGATCGCTCAAGTCTTCATAATTCCTCTTAATTGATGATGGAGTATACAACTTTGATTCTCATAATGCTAATATTCACTGAGCCACATGACTAAATTGAGAATATATTCAAAGAAATATCACAAAAGATTGAAAAAGATAGACAATTGAAAAAAAAAACCAAAACAAGAGTAAACAATAATTAAATTGTCTAGTTAACTTTTCTACCAATCCCTTTAACCTTCCTATTAAGGAAATGAAGTACGTTATATCATAGGGAAATTTTCAACAAAGATCAATTTTTTATTGAGTAAATAACCACAATTAATAATAAACTAATTGTTGCATCTCTTGGACACAATATTTGGTATTTATCCTCTTTGTAGTCAGCTTTTTAATGTGGGAATTTCTTTTAGTGGAAGCAAAGCGTTATGATTCACTCATGAAACTCTAATATCAAATATAAACCTATGCAACCAATTTATAATTATCATAATAATAGGTGTTCAATAAATATTGCACACACCACTCACTCAGTTATATGCTATGCAACTATACAACAATACAATAGGTTTAGATGTGCGCCATAATGTAGCTAAATTTATAGACTTTCAGGCTGATAACTAGTAGCAACTTAAATTGAAGTTATTTCACTGACACTGTAATTGAATTATTATATGTTAAGTTGGTTTTCCGGAGTACCAAATTATAACTCAACGTGTCATATCTCATGTATGCAGCAAATATCTAAATTTTTAGAGATCGCTTCATTCTTAACATCCAATGGGATAATAATCAATGAAACTTTAAAGTTTGGTACTCATCATCTTTCCAATAATTTTCTTGACTCTTATCTTGTATAGAAACGCTTGACAGTATGTTGCTTTAGCTATCTTAGTGATGGAATGAATTGTACCATCATAAAAAATATATCACTTACTGTAGAGATAGAAACGTATTACCCTATAATACCTAATAAGATAATACTGAAATTCATTGTATTATTTATCCCATAATGAGTGAAATATTTGTGCAGAAGTATGCACCCGTTTTACATTTCCTGTTATTTATTGCTTGGCCAAATGAAATAAGCCTAAACTATCACCATGATTTTTTCCTCTTTCAAAGTCATATATCGTTAACATTTAACTTCCAAATAATGAAGTCCTTGAGTTAAGAATCAAGGATCACTCAAATGAACGTGTAATTATCTTTAAAATCATTCATGCTTTATTGACTTGAATGATTCTTTTAACCTTAAAAACCCTGATGTTCATGATGCATAAGATTGTAGTTATTATATAAAGTGTTTACATAGGCTTGTTCTCTCTGTATGCAATCTAAATTTAGAAATAATATTGATTTGCATGAACATAATTGATTTAAATTGTTGGAGTATAACTTCTTTTTACCAAATGTCTTGTGATCTCGATGTAAGATGAGCACTTAAGGTGATAATGTTGCAAATGACATAAGATGTTGATGGAACTTGAGTTGCAAAATTCGGAATCCAGGAAAAACAACCCAAAAACAGTGGAAAAATGGAAGATTTCTTGGATGAAAACACTCACAAACAATTCGATTACTTAAATATCAAAAGACTTACAAGTTTCCACGGATACAATGCTCTCAATTCGAGAAGAGAAGCTTTCTCCCAAGCCCTAGATTAGAAAAACCTAAAACAGCCACCAAAACAAGATGCCTCCAAAACAAACCCTAACTCTCCTTTAACCCTCACATGATCCCCCCCCCCAAAATACCCTAATTACCCCTAGGGAAAACAAAACAAACTCCCTCTTACATTTGGTGGGCCTCTTGGGCCCACCCGTCTCCTCACTCTCCTTCGGTCGAACGCCCAGGCGGGCGTTTTCTCCGCCTGCAGTAGGCGAGAACTGGCCCCTTGTGAGCCGATGCGGATGCGGGATGGATCGGGCGGTCCGGTCCATCATCACTCCCCGCCCAAAGATTAACCTTGTCCTCAAGGTTGAAAGCAGGAAACTGGGCTTGTATGTTCTCATAGGCCTCCCAAGTAGCGTCATGTGCCGGTAGATCTTTCCACTCAATCAAAACTTCTTTCCCTCCT